GAACAAGCCTGAATGGTCCCCAGGACAATATGCAACTGAAAACTCACACCCCAGAAGTGACTCGAACCCATACTCCCAGAAGCAACGCAACTGGTATGTACAAGACGCCTTAATCCACTTGACCATCACGACCGGACATAATGAGGTGATAGCCGAGGCTATTTGAACCACCCCACCGCCGGCACTCGGATAGTAATCTTGGGCATAGCATTTTACCAAATCACCTCATTCTTTGGGGCACACGTGAGGAACACAAATGCGAACACAGTTGCGTTGCTTCTGGGAGTATGGGTTCGAGTCACTTCTGGGGTGTGAGTTTTCAGTTGCATATTGTCCTGGGGACCATTCAGGCTTGTTCGCATTTGTGTTCCTCACGTGTGCCCCAAAGAATGAGGTGATTTGGTAAAATGCTATGCCCAAGATTACTATCCGAGTGCCGGCGGTGGGGTGGTTCAAATAGCCTCGGCTATCACCTCATTATGTCCGGTCGTGATGGTCAAGTGGATTAAGGCGTCTTGTACATACCAGTTGCGTTGCTTCTGGGAGTATGGGTTCGAGTCACTTCTGGGGTGTGAGTTTTCAGTTGCATATTGTCCTGGGGACCATTCAGGCTTGTTCGCATTTGTGTTCCTCACGTGTGCCCCAAAGAATGAGGTGATTTGGTAAAATGCTATGCCCAAGATTACTATCCGAGTGCCGGCGGTGGGGTGGTTCAAATAGCCTCGGCTATCACCTCATTATGTCCGGTCGTGATGGTCAAGTGGATTAAGGCGTCTTGTACATACCAGTTGCGTTGCTTCTGGGAGTATGGGTTCGAGTCACTTCTGGGGTGTGAGTTTTCAGTTGCATATTGTCCTGGGGACCATTCAGGCTTGTTCGCATTTGTGTTCCTCACGTGTGCCCCAAAGAATGAGGTGATTTGGTAAAATGCTATGCCCAAGATTACTATCCGAGTGCCGGCGGTGGGGTGGTTCAAATAGCCTCGGCTATCACCTCATTATGTCCGGTCGTGATGGTCAAGTGGATTAAGGCGTCTTGTACATACCAGTTGCGTTGCTTCTGGGAGTATGGGTTCGAGTCACTTCTGGGGTGTGAGTTTTCAGTTGCATATTGTCCTGGGGACCATTCAGGCTTGTTCGCATTTGTGTTCCTCACGTGTGCCCCAAAGAATGAGGTGATTTGGTAAAATGCTATGCCCAAGATTACTATCCGAGTGCCGGCGGTGGGGTGGTTCAAATAGCCTCGGCTATCACCTCATTATGTCCGGTCGTGATGGTCAAGTGGATTAAGGCGTCTTGTACATACCAGTTGCGTTGCTTCTGGGAGTATGGGTTCGAGTCACTTCTGGGGTGTGAGTTTTCAGTTATATATATATATATATATATATATCCCTAGTGTATATATATATATATATATATATATATATATATATATATATATATATATATATATATATATATATATATATATATATATATATCACTAGTGACTTATCGCCTAGCCTGTGCTGGCTAGGGTATATATATATATATATATATATATATATATATATATATATATATATATATATATATATATATATATATATATATATATATATATATATATATACATGAGAAAGCTGCATGAACGCGCAAGCCATATATCACTAAGAACTCTTTGACCCGGCTTGGATTCGAACCCATGCCGTTCAGGATCACCCCTAAACGTACACAGAACCGTGACCACCGCACCAATGATCGTCTATAAGGATTTGTCAGTCTTGGCGCTTATTAACTAAGCTCCCTGACTGACCAACCCCCGACGACGCTCATGGATTCATTTGGGTACAGTTTTTCATCAGATTCTGGCGCATGCACGGGCCGCACTGAGTCTAACATGTGTGAGAGAGTTGCATGAACGCGCAAGCCATATATCACTAAGAGTGTCGTCGGGGGTTGGTCAGTCAGGGAGCTTAGTTAATAGGAGACTATTAGACCATCTGTCGGGATGGTCGAGTGAAAAAGGTGTCCTGTACACACCAATGGCATTGTGCTCCTAGCAGTATGGGTTCGAGTCACTTCTGGGGTGTGAGTTTTCAGTTGCATATAGTCCAGGCGTGTTCGCATATATATATATATATATATATATATATATATATATATATATATATATATATATATATATATATATATATATATATATATATATATATATATATATATATGTCGTACCTAGTAGCCAGAACGCACTTCTCAGCCTACTATGCAAGGCCCGATTTGCCTAATAAACCAAGTTTTCCTGAATTAATATATTTTCTCTATTTTTTTTCTTATGATATGATAAAGCTACCCATTTCATTATGTATGAGGTCAATTTTTTTTAATTGTAGTTAAAAATAACGTAGATATATGACCGAACCTAACCAACCCTACCTAACCTAACCTAACCTATCTTTATAGGTTAGGTTAGGTTAGTTAGCCGAAAAAGTTAGGTTAGGTTAGGTTAGGTAGGTTAGGTAGTCGAAAAAACATTAATTCATGAAAACTTGGCTTATTAGGCAAATCGGGCCTTGCATAGTAGGCTGAGCAGTGCGTTCTGGCTATTAGGTACGACATATATATATATATATATATATATATATATATATATATATATATATATATATATATATATATATATATATATATATATATATATATATATATATATATATATATGGCCTTTGTATACTTTGGTAGCAGTCTTTCTTGTAAACATATGTTGTTAAATATGACCGAATAAGTAAGATTAATAATTCTAACACGAATTTTCTCAATATTTCTTATGTTTCTTTTTACTGTTGATGGTAATTGAGAAATCTGTTCTCCAAAATTCATTTTTATTTCTAGTTGGACGCAACGCTTGAATGCATTTCGTAATAACTTATTACATTTTCAAAGACTTTAGTTTGCACACACAACTGTAACCTGAAAACACTAAACAGAGTTTTACTTATACTGACACTAAACAGATTGATGAAGATTAAGCCACCCAAAAGGTGGCACGGGCATGAATAGCCCGTAAGTGGTGGAACACTAAACAGCTTATCCGTCTTACATATACTCGCACTTGGGTGAGGTGATAACCTGGTAACCACTAGGCCACAAGTGGCCTGGTGGTTACTGTTGAAAGAATTGGAAGTCGTTACATAAACTTGACACAATAACTTTACTTGTTGTGCCAAACGGCTCTGGTAGACAACTGAGGTCTCGGACACCCGTTGCTCCCATGCTGGTTTGCTAGTCACCAACTTCTCCTTCCTAGCAGGTCTTGGTGGCCACTGCGCTACGAATTCAGCCCGTCCTCCACACGAAAACCCAAAAGTGATTCCATGCAATCCCTTCTCACATACAAAGATCCAAGCTCTTTAATCCAGCCGCCAAACCCCCTGTTTATGAATGAAATGTAGTTTACACACGACTCACAACTCAGCCCGTCCTCCAAACAAAGATCCAAAAGTGATTCCATGCACCCGCCAAACCCCCTGTTTATGAATGAAAAGCGGTTTACACACGATTCACAACTGCTGACATTCGAACATATCCGGAACAAGTGCTTCACTGACGAATTTTGTTCGAATCACAACGCTATAAATGCTTCACCTACGTACTACAAATACAAATAATCGCCAACAGAACCTAAACACCTAACCTAACCTATCCTATGCCTATATATACACAATATGCTAATATATTATAATAATAATTTATACTTGAGAAAATTCCCGTTTTGAATGAACAGTATGTTAAAATTTATGAATGCGTCTGTGGGGTTGACCGCTGAATGTAATGGAGTTGAGTCGAGGACGGGTTGCACAACTGATGACGTCCGAACAATTCCGGAACAAGTACTTCGCTCACGTATTCTGTTCGAACCACAACTCTATAAATGCTTCACCTACGTATTTATAAACACAAATAATTACCAACAGAATTTAAACACCTAACCTAACCTAACCTACTCCAAACTATTCATACAATTTTTATGTATAAGAATATTGATTTATGTATATGAGAAGAAACCAATTTTTAATACACAGTATGTTAATATTGATGAATGTGTTGGGAAGGACGGCCGCTGCTTTACACAGCTTTGAGTGAGAACTAGTTGTCCATGCACCCGCCAAACCCGCTGTTTATCAATGAAAAACGGTTTACACACAACTCACAACTGATTTCGTTCGAAAACTTCCGGAACAAGTGCTTCACTGACGAGTTTTGTTCGAACCACAACGCTGTAAATGCTTCACCCACGTACTACAAATTCAAATAATCGCCAAAAAACCTAAACACCTAACCTAACCTAACCTATGCCTATATATGCACAATATACTGATATTTTATAATATTAATTTATATATGAGAAAATTACTGTTTTGAATGAACAGCATGATAAAATTTATGAATGTGTCTGTGGGGTCGATCTGTGTATGGAATGGACTTCATCTGAAGACGGGTTGTGAATTATTATTTATGAATAATTTATTTGTTATCAGCGCTACTGTGATCGTTATTACATTTATGCATATGTTTTTGAATGAGTTATTTTTGTCAGACACTAAGTTTTCATTATTGCTTAGAATAGTGTGTATATAATTAATATCGGTAACACTGATTAGTGCATGGTCCTTACGCCGAGCTTACAGTGCCGCTCACCTAGTGAGGTAGTTCAGTGATTATAACCTATTTGCCCTCTAAGCTTATAATATCATAACAGTTGTATTATTATTCAATTAAACTATAATTATTTGCAGTATGGTAGTAACTTCATAATGTCAGTGTCAATATCATTCTATACTACTCCAGCCTGATTAAGACCAATCTGACGCAGTTTTTTTCCTCTCTCGCCGGCACACTAGTGTTCCCAGGCGGGGAACAGCACCAGGTCCCCGATGCTCCATTTACCGCCAGTGTTGCTCGCCTTCGTCCCGCTCCGATACCTCTCTCCGCCTCCCACCGGCCGTGTGGCGTCGCTCTGCCTTATTCGTCGATGTTTTCAAGTGGAAGTGAACTCCCGCCCGAGCTGTTTATTGTCTCATCTCCAGGTTCTGCCGACTCAAGCATGACTTTCTTCATCGTGATTTGCGTCTTCCAGTCTGGCCAAAGAGGTTCGTACGCTCTATTCATATTTTATAACTCCGTGGAGAAAAGGGTTGTGTCCTCTTTTGTAAATGTTATTAGTCAAATTAGTAACTTTCCTCATAAATAGTTATTCGTTTATAGTTGACTTTGTATAAACTATCTAAAGATCATTTATTAATTTATACAGTGAATTAGTAAGTATAATAGAGTAACACTAATTATTTAAAAGTATATATTATATACAGAGCAGTATAACTAAGACGACAAGACCTCACATGACATGTTAGTGAATATATGAAAGGAACAATGTAATCATCGAAAAAATTTCAAACATATTTAGTCTAACGTCAAAACAAACAATAAAAATTTTTAACAGTATAACAAGTGCATATATCGAAAACATTATAAACAGTGTAAAGATTACAAAATTATTGTAAACAATTTAAACATTGTAAGAATTGTAAACAATAGTAATTGTTTAACTTCTAACGACATTAACAGCAGCTTGATGGAAAATACAGGAAACAAAACACAACTTCTTATACAATACTGGCCTGGCTTGTGTCTGCCGGGTGTGTCACAAACATCACGTCAAGTGCTACTTACTTCTACTGTGTGTAAGCTGTACACCGACTCCTCGACGCGGCGACTCAGGTATCTGTTACGAGTCCGTTATTCACAGTTATAAGAATAACGAACTCGTGACTTTCTTTAGAAGCAGAAGTAGGAATTAAGAGAATAAAGATGTTAGGCGTTGCCTTATTGTACCAAGTATTATATTACATTAAAAACATCCATATATTCTTAGTGTAGTGTTGAATGGTTATACGTAAAGACACGCTGAGAATAGCCAAAAGTGTGAGATGTGTTTTAAGCAGCTTAAGCGACCTGGAGGTCGGGATAAGCGAGTACCAACCTTACAAATGGGAGGTCACTTCAGGGAAATGTAATGGTAGTAATTTGAATTAGAGAGATGTTACCAGGAAGCTAGATTCATTATTAATACTTTAATTGCGGATTAAGGCCAGCTATGTTGAGCTTCCCAGTGTAAGTATGACTATTTTCATAGTAGGATGTCATTCAAATAATGTAGGTAGCTTAGCCATCCAACATGGCGGCTGCGACCATGATGTTTTACCCCTCAGATTAATTGTAAAGTTTAGGATGTACCTATTAGTTTCAGTAAGGAAACCTATTTCATGTAGTTAGATATTCCCTTTGCTACTCATTGTAAGATTTTAGCCAAGGATAAATAGAAGGGAGAGAAATGACTAATGGTTCATCGTACATGTGGCAGGTCATTAGTTGCCAACAGGCCTACCACTCAACCCTGGGAGAACCATGTTGCTGTTCAAGGTTAATTAGAAAGGTAATGAGTAGGACTGATTCCTTTTGGTTGTTATGGTATCATAAATTACCAGCTTAGATCTGCTTAACAGTTCTAAGCAAATGAGAAGGAAGGAAGGAAGGAAAAAAGGAAGGAAGGAAGTAGGAAAGGAAAGAACGAAGGAAGGAAAGGGAGAATGAAGGAAGGAAGGAGAGAGAGAAGAAGAGAAGGAAGGAAGAAATTAAAGAAGGAAGGAAAAAGGAAAGAAGGGGGGAAGGAAAGAAGGAAGTGAGGAAGGAAGAAGAAAATGTAGGAAGGAGAGAAGGAAGGAGAGAAAGAAGGAAGGAGAGCAGGAAGGAAGGAAGGAAGGAAGGAAGGAAGGAAGGAAGGAAGAGAAGTAAGGCGAAAATGAAGAAAGGAGAGAAGGAAGGAAGGAAGGAAGGAAGGAAGGAAGGAAGGAAGTTGAGAGTGAGAGAGCACCACCGCTGCCTCACACAGCAGGTGAAGAAAGTGTTGACGGTAAGTTGCTCTCCAACATAGAGCAGCTTGCTGGTGTTATTGTGTGTGCGGGACGGTGGTGCCAGGCCCGACCTGCTGCTGACGAGTGGTTCACACTCACGCGCACGCCTCCTAACTTTTAGGTGCAGGCGTGAACCTGGCAAACACAGGCGTGAACCTGGCCAACACAGGCGTGAACCTGGCAAACACAGGCGTGAACCTGGCAAACACAGGCGTGAACCTGGCCAACACAGGCGTGAACCTGGCAAACACAGGCGTGAACCTGGCCAACACAGGCGTGAACCTGGCCAACACAGGCGTGAACCTGGCCAACACAGGCGTGAACCTGGCAAACACAGGCGTGACCTGGCAAACACAGACGTGAACCTGGCAAACACAGGCGTGAACCTGGCAAACACAGACGTGAAACTGGCAAGCACAGGTGTGAAACTGGCAAACACAGGCGAGAACCTGGCAAACACAGGCGTGTACCTGGCAAACACAGACGTGAACCTAGCAAGCACAGGCGTAAACCTGGCAAACACAGGCGTGAACCTGACAAACACAGGCGTGAACCTGGCAAACACAGGCGTGTACCTGGCAAACACAGGCGTGAACCAGGCAAACACAGGCGTGAACCTGGCCAACACAGGCGTGAACCTGGCCAACACAGGCGTGAACCTTGCCAACACAGGCGTAACCTGGCAAACACAGGCGTGACCTGGCAAACACAGGCGTGAACCTGGCAAACACAGACGTGAAACTGGCAAGCACAGGTGTGAAACTGGCAAACACAGGCGAGAACCTGGCAAACACAGGCGTGTACCTGGCAAACACAGGCGTGAACCTGGCAAGCACAGGCGTAAACCTGGCAAACACAGGCGTGAACCTGGCAAACACAGGCGTGTACCTGGCAAACACAGGCGTGAACCAGGCAAACACAGGCGTGAACCTGGCAAACACAGGCAAGAACCTGGCAAACACAGGCGTGACCTGGCAAACACAGGCGTGAACCTGTCAAACACAGGCGTGAACCTGGCAAACACAGGCGTGAACCTGGCAAACACAGGCGTGAACCTGGCAAACACAGGCGTGAACCTGGTCAACACAGGCGTGAACCTGGCAAACACAGGCGTGAACCTGGCAAACACAGGCGTGAACCTGGTCAACACAGGCGTGAACCTGGCAAACACAGGCGTGAACCTGGCAAACACAGGCCTGTACCTGGCAAACACAGGCGTGAACCTGGCAAACACAGGCGTGAACCTGGCAAACACAGGCAAGAACCTGGCAAACACAGGCGTGAACCTGGCAAACACAGGCGTGAACCTGGCAAACACAGGCGTGAACCTGGCAAACACAGGCCTGTACCTGGCAAACACAGGCGTGTACCCGGCAAACACAGGCGTGAACCTGGCAAACACAGACGTGAACCTGGCAAACACAGGCGTGAACCTGACAAACACAGGCGTGAACCTGGCCAACACAGGCAAGAACCTGGCAAACACAGACGTGAACCTGGCCAACACAGGCAAGAACCTGGCAAACACAAGCCCAGCTATATAGCCATTACGACTATATAGCACTGGGAAGGAATGAGGATAGGGATTTGGGATGGGACGGGGGGAGGGAATGGTGCCTAACTTTCCGTAAGTGTGAGTCATTCCTGGTCTTTACAAGTCATTAATCAACTAGGCCCAACCATGCTAACCATCCCAACCATGCCAATCATGCCCAATAATGCGGACCATGCCCAACCATACCAACCATGCCCAACCATGCCAACCATACCAACCATGCCAACAATGCCCAACCATGCCCAACCATGCCAACCATGTTAACAATACCAACAATACCCAACTTTGCCAACGGTGCCAACCAAGCCAAACATACCAACCATGCCTAACCATGCCATTGGGCATGGGAGCCAGTCTGCCGAGCGGACAGCACGCTGGACTTGTGATCCTGTGGTCCCGGGTTCGATCTCGGGCGCCGGCGAGAAACAATGGGCAAAAGTTTCTTTCACCCTATGCCCCACAACCAGGGGTAGTCGGTCGGCCGAGCGGACAGCACATTGGACTTGTGATCCTGTAGTCCCGGGTTCGATCCCTGGCGCCGGCTAGAAACTAGAGGCAGAGTTTCTTTCACCTTATGCCCCTGTTACCTAGCAGTAAAATAGGTACCTGGGTGTTAGTTAGCTGTCACGGGTTGCTTCCTAGGGGTGGAGGCCTGGTCGAGGACCGGGCCGCAGGGACACTAAAGCCCCGAAATCATCTCACGATAACCTCAAGATGCCAACAATGCCAAACATACCAACCATGCTCAACCATGCCAACTATACCAAACATACCAACCTTTCCTAACCATGTCCAACGAAGCCCAACCTTGCCAACCATGCCAACCATGCCCAACCATGCCAACCTTGTCAACCATGCCCAACCTAGCCAACCATGCCCAACCATGCCACCCATGCCCAACCATACCAATCATGCCCAACCATGCCAACCAAGCCCAACCATGCCCAATCATGCCCAACCATCCCAAACAGGACATCCTTGTAAACCATACCAACCATGCCAAACCATGAACAACATTACCAACCATGCATAACCTGGCCAACCAAGCTGAAACATGCCTAACCTTGCCAACCATGCCAAACCATGCCAACCATGCCCAACCATGCCCAACCATGCCAACCATGCCCAACCATGCACAATCATGCCAACCATGCCCAACCATGCCCAGATATGCCAACCATTCCCAACCATTCCCAAACTTACCAACCATGCCTAACCTGGTCAACCATGCCCAATCATGCCCAAACTTGCCAACCATTCCCAACCATGCCAACCATGCTTAACCATGCCACCCAAGCCTAACCATGCCCAACCATTCCAACCATGATCAACAATGCCCAACCATGCAAGCCATACCCAACCATGCCAACCAAGCCCAACCATGCCCAACAATGCATACCTTACAAACCATGCCTAACCATGCCCATATGCCAACCATGCCCAGCCATGCCCAACCATGCCGAATGATGGCAACCAAGCCTAACCATGCCCAACCATGTCCAACCATACTAACTATGCAAACCATGCCAACTATGCCAACAATTCACAACCATGCCAAACCTTGCCAACAATGCCAAACCATGCCAACCATGCCCAACCTTGCCAACCATGCTAACCATGTCAACCATACCAACCATGCCCAACGATGCCCAACCATGCCCAACCTTGCCAACCATGCCACCGATACCCACCAAGCCTAACCATGCCCATCAATGGGCAACCATGCCACCGATACCCACCAAGCCTAACCATGCCCAACAATGGGCAACTATGCCCAACCTTGCCAACCATGCCAACCATGCCAACCATACCAACCTTGCCAAATATGCCCAACCTTGTCAACCTTGCCAACCATGCCCAACTATGCTAACCATGTCAACCATGCAAAACCATGCCTAATCATGCCCAACCATGCCCAACCATGCCAATCAAGCCTAACCATGCCCAACCATGCCACCCATGCCCAACCATGCCTAACCATGCCAACCAAGCCCAACCATGCTCAACTATGCCAACCAGGCCAACCTTACCAACCATCCCGACTATGCCTAACTATGCCGAACCATGCCCAACCTTGCCACCCATGCTTAACCTGGCCAACCATGCCCAACCATTCCCAATCATTCCAACCATGCTCAACCATGCTCAACCATGCCCAACCATTCAAACCATGCTCAACCAAGCCTAACCATGCTCAACTGTGCCAACAATACCAATAATGCCCTACCATGCCCAACCTTGCCAACCATGCCAACCATGCCACCCATGTCCAACCATACCTAACCATGCCCAACCAGGCCCAACAATGCCCAACCATTCCACACATGCCACCCTTGTCCAACCATGCCAACCAAGCTCTACCATGCCCAATCATGCCCACATATGCCAACCAGGCCAACCTTGCCAACCATACCAACCATGCCCAACCATGCCCAACCATGCCAAAGCATGCCCAACCATGCCCAACCAGGCCAACAATGCCCAACCATGCCCAACCTCTCCAATCATGCCCAACCTTGCCGATAATGCCCAACCATGAAACCAAGCCAACCAAGCCCCACTATGCCCAACCATACGACCCATGCCCAACCATGCCATCCAAGCCCAATCATGTCCAACCATGCCAACCATTCCCAGCCATCCCCAACCATACCAAACAATCCCTCTTATGCACAAGCATGCCAACCATACCAACAATGCCCAACCTTACAAACCATGCCCAACCTTGCCAAACATGCCTAACAAACATGAAAACCATGCCTAACAATGCCAATTAAGCCCAACCATGCCCTGTAACACAGGGGGGGGTTCTTGTGTTCTCTTCACCCCCTTTCTCTCTCTGCCCGTATTTTAACTTTGTTCTCTCTACCAAGGGACCCCAAAACTTTCACTTGAGCCGACCCCACGCCACGTGGTCTTAAGACGATTGACTGACTTAAGATTCTACACCCGTATGACGTGACATAGGCTTCTAGCCAAAACCCTAGGGTCGCCTTTTTGCTGCCACCACCAGGCCAACAACACTGAGCAATGATCGAGGCCTGGATCGATCATGCCAATCAATAACTATGGGGCTTGATCCCTACTAGTAACATATAACCTTGGATCTTAAGTGTGGAATTAAAAATCAACGGGAATGATAATTCTGAATCGGTGTTAGAATCGGCGTCCAATTAAACTCTGCCTGGTGGGGATCACGTGACAAGGACATGAGAATGGAAACAATGAAATGGAAAATAATAAAAATGCAAATTACTAGCTAATTAATTTATTCAAAACTAAACAAAATCTAAATAAATGGCACTCCCTGTCAATTAACACTCCCTGACTTTACATTTGAGGCAATGAGTTGACCTACTCCCTATCCAAACTCCGAGCAAACTTTACCTTGGGCGACCAGCTAGCTGTTCGTGCTGTCTTGGGGCCGATGATGGAGGCCACCTGCCCGAATCGCTCATTTTCCCACACTGTCCTCCTGCTCGGCTGGTCCTACCCAGACCAGAGCAGTGTATTGTTGCGCCTAGTATCTAAGTTACTTGCAAGGCTTAAGCTTAACAATTAACCTCTGTTGCACTGAATGATCCAGATTGGTTGAATTATTTTAACTGAAGTTAAATTACACAAGCATCTTAAGGAAGAGCTATTCCCGATCATAAAATGACTATTTGACCTTTGAGAATTACTGAATGTAGAAACTGTTGACCTGTGACCGCCAGGTCACCGAGGTCACTCCGCCCTACAGCCTAGTCCTGGCTCGTGACGTCACTGATGGTGACTTAACTCATTCTCCTAATACTTAGAATACTCCTGATATTATAACCAGTAATATTATACAATTTGGATGAAGACTAATTTCTCTAAATTACTGAATACTATAGAATGATTCATTATACAAAACTTGTGAACAAAGGTGCCAGTTATTTTCACCGTCAATCCCCCAGGTCACCACGTGGGTCCAGCTTCCCATCCTCCCATGTGTAGATAAACATTCTGGATAATTCTTACAACAAACCTATTTTGTTACAGCCCAACCATACCCAACCATGCCAACCATGCCCAACCATGCCCAACCATGCCCAACCTTGCCGATCATGCCCAACCATGAAACCTATGCCCAACTATGCCAACCAAGCCCTTAAGGGCTTGGTTGGCATAGTTGGGCATAGGAATTAATTTTATTCCTTTTATGACATAGTGAGGATACTAGATAGGTGTAAACAATTAGTATATTCAGTTGAAATTTCAGCTTGTGTTGTAAGCGGTCGTGGTCCTCTCATGTTCCCACGCCATGCTCGAGCTCACGTGTTGCTGCAAGTAGCAGACGACGCCACCGCACCTCTACCTCTCCGTTCACTATTACAGCTAAGCAGCTGAAACCTTTTCTATTATTTCTTTGATTAAGAAAAATCTAGATCACTCGAAGTTATTTAGTTTATTTGATTTGAGATATCTAACGTAATATGATAGCCTCATAAAAGTCAAATGAGAATTTCTTGGTTAATCAACATATAATCCTTTTAACATTAATCAATTTATCTAATGTTTCTTAATATAGTATTTAGTAGAAATTACTAATTTTATTCGAGGAAGAACCAGCCTCGACGAAGCGTACTGGGAGTAGATTACTTCTGGTATTAACCCCCCATTTTGTGATGGACGGAAAGTTTATTCTCGAACATTAATATTATGCAACCCATTGAAGTTTAAAGAATAATCTTTAATAGTTTCTTATCCATAGGCACTGGTGTTTCAGTCCTTATCAGTTAACTTTATCTGTTTAGCTTTTCAGTCAAAATAGGGTGGTCCTTCGATTAATTTAAATTAATCTATTAATTAAATATCAATCAATTAATAGAGAGTAAACTTTCTCCCCAACAACAGCACTGAACCACACACAGCACACTGACACAACTGTCAATAAAAGCAATGCAATAATAATACAAAAACACTCTTACTTTTTAA